CAACAATCAATCAACCAACTGCCACATCAGATACACTGAACAAGTTTAGAATCAGTCATTTTGCAGTAAATGATTACCAATGGCAACTGTGTTACAGCATCTTAGAGGGCATCTCTGTCGCAAAGTACTAGCCTCTTTGAACCAGATAGTCAATGTATGGATATCTCTGTGTGGCTGATGGAAACCTCTTCTGTAATTATGTTTATAAAGTGAAAACTAGAAATCAATATGAACAACAACACAAAACATGTGAAAGACCTAAAAAAAATAGATTTAAAAATATTTAAGTAATTACATATTTTTCCTCCATTCAGACAAAAGTCCTTGGTTCATGCCAAGTAAATAGCGGCATTGCTTTATTGCTCCTTCTATATGAATAGAAGATATCTCTACGCTCGTTTACAAGAGAAGATAAAGCTATTGATAAATACTGTAATAATAGTTCTGCTATGCAACCTTAGATATCAATCAAGTTTAATAAAAGCCAATTATCAATAAAAGAACAAATTAATACTAAAATGAATACAATATGTAAAGTAAAGCAATATTAATGCACATGATTGGCTGTTTCTCATTTTGTGCAACATCTGAATATGAATCTTATCCAGGAAATACAAGGAGATTTCATCCCACGTTATCATTCAACATAGTATTAAGTATTAAGATCCTCATAAATATAGTATTTGTATTGTAAGGATTATGTATACTATATATGTTATCTTTCTGCAAAGGAAATATGTTCAAATAATGTATTTTATGTGCACATTTCACGGCACATGCTCACAGCACTTATGATGCTGTACTGGGCCACATAATGGAGGGACAAGTCAATACAAGCTCTAAACAGCACAGCCCCTGGACATGAGGAGGGGGCCGTGTCAGGCTAATTACACTGTGCTTTGAGAGTTTATCACAGAACTAGCAGCATGCGTCCAAATGTGGGTCATGTACACACACTGAATGCAAGTTGTTATAAAAACACATAGTCTAACTAAGACTCATCGCTTGGCTACCGTAGATGCACAGAATATAAAGTTTTATATATTTTCTTGTTGGTGGTTCCTGTTTAGCAAATTAAAATGCTAAAGCAAAGGATAAATCAAACAAGATAATGAAGTATGTGATTTGAGTGCTTGAATAAATAATCGAAATTAGTTTAGTTGAGAGAAACACTGAAGAGCAGATGAGAGTGATACTTTTGTAGATTTTTGTATTGTTGCTGTACATTAAGTATTGTACATTCATGAATAGTTTATCATTGTCCATCATACACACACAGACACTTTTTATGGCAGACATTACACCAAAAAAATCTTATTTTGATGCTTTAATATCGTTTTTTGATGGGTTTTAAATCCTGACTAAAATAAATTATAATCTAATTGAATTTTTCATAAGTAGATCTCCCAGTACAATATAGAATCAAAGAACACCAGCAGAGCTATTTATGACAGGTTTGGAAACTTCTAAACCATCTAGATAATGCTTTCACGTTGAATGCCAAAACACATTAGTTGCAAATTGGGGCAAATATTTTGATACTCAACCAATTTGGATGTGAGCATGTAAGTGTAAATCCAAATTTAACGATGATAGATGGATATGTAAGATGTAGTACATGAATGAAAATGAAGACTTCAAGGCATAACTCAAAGGATAACAGAAAAAAACAATGTATACGTCTTCAGATGTAGCTTCCTATGTTTTCATATGCACACGCTGCTACTGTCAAGGCACTTTACAAGCCTAGTTTTCTGGTAATACATGTATATAAGCATTACTCGCGGGTGTACATGATGGCTTGTTTGCGATTATATAGAAACCCGTACCTGAAAATGTTGAATTCCTCCAGCCCACTGACTTGTGAATGTGGGGCTCCCAGGGCCCGGATGCCTTCTCTTTATCCACCCACTGAAGGCGCCTCTGCCTCGGCTCGAACTCCTCGCGCGTACCGGAAAAGAAAGAAATATCCTTTTACTCGCACATTGAGGGGGGGGGGGTCTCCTGAAGAATAAAAGCTAAAGGGGTTGAGACAGAGCCCCCCGAAATGTCGCTGCTACGGTGGTGGAGGAGTGTAAAGCTGTTGGAGGAGGACCTCGCCTCAACACAGGAGATGGGAGGGAGCCAGCAACAAGAGGCTGCGCTGTCATGTCACGGACCTTTCACAATAAAGGCAGATCTACATATTCTATGATGTTCCGTTCAAATTTTCAAAATAAAGTTAACTTCCGGTTATGGATATTAGAACGATGTAAGCAAAAAGCGATGATTGTAATCAAACTAGACAGACACAAAGAGATGTAAGAATGAAACACGGCATATTAATAGCATGATTTCCACCTGTTTTGCCAAGAATGAGTCTGGTGTGCATGTGTGTGTTTGTGCGTGTGTGTCTGCATGCATATGTGTGTGATGAATGATGGGAAGTGGTCGGAACATAAATTAAGATTACTTACTTACTTATTTACTCACTTATACTGGTTACCTTGCTTCTTACAGTGTGCCCCAGGGCAGCTGTGGCTACAATAATAGTTTATCATCACCGTGTATGGAGTGAATGAATAATGGCATGTAATGCATTATTATTATTAAATCATGGACCTTCACTAATGGTTGACAAATTATATTTTGCCATTTGCTGTATGCAAAACACATCTGTCCCCTTTAGGGTTGACAAAAGAATCCAAAAGAAGACACCAATCAATACTAAAACTAGCAAACTGTAGACTCACTTGTACATGTATAGATACTAAAATCAATTATACAAACAGGACAAAATGTAACCTTTCTTGAGCATGTTTTATACATTCACAAACTATATCAGAAGAAAATTATCTTGTGGCCCCATACAGAAAAACATGTCTAAATAATCCCTGTGGTATCGAAATTGGTATAGTATGCAGTATTTTTCAGAAATTAAATCATGATAAATAATACTAATGCATCAGTTTTATATAGCGCTTTTTAGACGCTCAAAGACGCTGTACATGTCATTATTCATTCACTCCATACACGGTGGTGATAAGTTACTGTAGTCACAGCTGCCCTGGGGCACACTGACAGAAGCGAGGCAACCAGTATGTGCCATCGGCCCCTCTGATCACCAAACATTCACACACATACACACAAACACACACACACACCAGACTCATTCTAGGCAATGTGGGTGAAGTGTCTTGCGGATACAGCCGCCCCACTGTGGCATGGTGTTCCCAGAGGTTAAGTATTTTGCCCAAGGACACAACGACAGCAGACATCAGTAGGAGTCAGTGGATAAAGTCTGGTGAAATACAGTTTGGATGTAGTATTGTGACACCATTTAAAGAATATATTTCAAATAAAAGCGTAGGTAGACCATGAATGTATTTGGTTCCCAAAGTGGGGGTCCCGACCCCCCGGGGGGTCGCGGGAACCCCTGGGGGGGGGGTTGCAAGATGATTTTTTTTTTTTGAGCAAATATAAAGCCCTTAAATATTTATTTAGCATTTGATTTGATTCAAAAGGACTACTTGTTAAATTGTGTTTGGAGACTATAATATATTTTCATAACGTTAGTAATTTTGTCCCAGTCATTGCAGCGTCAATCAAAATCATCACGTAACACAGCTCACATCATGCGCAGCGACAAAGCGTGTCCAGCTGTTGTTTGCTAAAACTAAAGGTGTTTGGAGGCTACAAATAAATAATACCTGCTTTCAAATGAAACGAGGTTAATATCCACAACAGAAAAACCCGGAGGGGGAGAAAAGACACTTGTATCAGGGGTCAGGCTGATGGTGCGAAGAGAGGGAGAGAGGGCAGCGGAGGGAGAGAGGGCAGCGGAGGGAGAGAGGGCAGAGGAGGGAGAGAGGGCAGCGGAGGGAGAGAGGGAGAGAGGGCAGAGGAGGGAGAGAGGGCAGAGGAGGGAGAGAGGGCAGCGGAGGGAGAGAGGGAGAGAGGGCAGAGGAGGGAGAGAGGGCAGAGGAGGGAGAGAGGGCAGAGGAGGAGGAGGGAGAGGGCAGGGAGAGGGAGAGAGGGAGAGAGGAGAGGAGCGGAGGGAGAGAGGGCAGCGGGGGGAGAGGGAGGGGAGGGGGGAGGAGGAGGAGAGAGGAGAGAGGGAGGAGGGAGAGGGAGAGAGGGCAGAGGAGGAGAGAGAGGGCAGCGGAGGGAGGGAGGGAGGGAGGGCAGGGGAGGGAGAGAGGGAGGGCAGCGGTAGAACAGCGCGTTAAAGAGGCCCGGCTTTTCGGAGTCAAAGGTAAAGAGGTCCGCACATTAAAAGCGGGTGGCCGGTTTATGCCTTTACTGACAGTAACTTTGGAAAGAGAAGCCGCGGGGATGAACCGCATAAAGTAACAGCAGAAAGCGGCCGCCCGCTTTTAATGTGCGGACCTCTTTACCGCTGACTCCGGAAAGCCGGCCCACTTTACCGCGGTAGGAGAACAGTGAGGGCGAGCCGCAAGAAATGCGCTCCACTTCTGCTGAGGAGGGAGCCCACCAAGCCCATCACTGTGTCACTACATGAGTAAAAATATGCAAGCCTCCTTTTTTGGGCTGGACAGTGCAGCTCGGTAGTGGCGTGAGTCTCTAGAAAGCGTTACTCCGTATCAAGGAAATGCATGCTCATTTCATGTGACGGAAGGGCTGTTGGGGGGGGGGGGGGGGGGGGTCGCGGGTTAGCAGGGCATTTATGATGGGGGTCGCGGGCTAAAAACTTTGGGAACCCTTGTATTATAATACATAGGTACCGAGGTAGATTGGTCCGTCTATGATTGTATGACGCCATCTGCTGGTTTAGCAGGGAAAATACATACTCCTGAGGAATACGCTCTTTTTTGTACTTTTATTTTATAGCTAATGGCATCTAGCCCACTGACACTGTTATTGTGTTATCCCAATCTGTCACAATGTGTTAGCTAGCTTGTATTATTCTTAGGCCTTTTCTTTGGAGTTACATTATCTACCTCACGGTGCTCCTTGACCCACTTCTGGTGTTGTTTATCTGTGTGTGATCATTGTGTCAGGTCCAGCCAAGCGGACAGCGGACCAAGATGTCACGGGCAGCGGACAGACTCAAACATTTAATCGGACATCTAGACCGTCCTTCTGTGGACATCGTATCCTTTCCATCGGCTAGAGAAGCAGCGGGATGAGAGGGCTGCACTAATGCGGACATGAGTGCGTAGCGGTGGGAGTATGTCACAGGAGAGCTCGGGGTCTGGTAGAAAGCAGGCCCCGTATGGCCATCTATAATACATGGTGTAATTGTGTAATTTATGAAGCATTAGCAAAGCGTTAGATCATGTGTCTGTGTACCGTTATTTGATGTGTTGAATGGGGTCAGGAACAAGAATTGTGGTCAGTGGAAACTCAAGTGAATCATGTGAAGCATATAAGTTTATTCTAGTTAAGTTGTTCTCAAACTTGTCACACCAACCTCGTAAAACATAATAATTTGATATTTTATAAATCGTGTTTGATAACATAGGTTTCAATTTTAAACGCTGATAGTGGAGGGGGTGATTATTTGTTTCATTCCTTGACATATATCACCATCAGAGAACTTCACCTGCTGCTTCTCTAGCCTCCACCTTGCCTTTGAATTTCAGGTTTGGACTTTCTCATTCAACTTAAAGATTGTAATTCTTTCAAGTTGATGTATCAAGCAATGCAAAGTCAATGTCGTTGTTTAATGAGATCATCAAAAGGGCAAAGGTTGTTTTGTCAACAGTTTACATAACACCATGTCCTCCATAAATTCACCTAATTTTTGTGTTTATTCACAATTAGATTAGACCATGGCTTCTATAACAGCATCGCTTGACCCGTAACTTTAGGCTTCCCCATGTATAAAACCAGTGCGTCACATTGCTCCATTTACAATGTGGAATTATTTTAATCTTTTTTGCACTGGCTGCTCTTGCCATTTATAATGCCTTTTCTTGTGTAGGGTTCATCATCCATTTTCATGGATGTGTACAATTGTGCTGATAAGTTAGGATATCCTGACAGAACTTTTCATTTTACACAAAGATACTCTCTGGACAACAGTCTGCTGACTCCAGAGCAGAGACGGTTCTATGAAGAAAATGGCTTCCTTCTCATCAAGAATTTAGTGTCACATGAGGACATTGACAGATTCAGGTAAAATAAGTTGTGTCACACATTGAGACTTCTATATATATATATAAATATATATATATATATATATATATATATATATATATATATATATATATATATATATATATATATATATATATATATATATATATATATAAGCTAAACAAATTGTTTAGGTAATTGAGTTCTTATAATTGCAAGTACTCGAAAAACATAAGTTCTGAAAATGACCAAAGTTATGGATAAATGTTTATAAAGATATCTGAGTGTAACCCTAACGTTATTATGTCATGTCCTTTGCAGACAGGAGTTTGAGCGAATCTGTCGTCGGGAGGTGGACGTTCCCGGCCTGGTGGTAATGAGGGACGTAGCCATTGCAAAATCTGAGTTTGTCTCAGATCAACGAGCTGTGTCCAAACTGCAGGATTTTCAAGAGGACCCGGAACTCTTCCGATTCTGTGCCTTGCCCCAGGTATGATATTGTCACAGTTGCATACAGACGTTTCTATAATTGTTTCTTATGATAAAAGTTCACTGAATGTTGTCAAATGTGGGACATTCTCTGACTGGGCCCACCCAGAGACGTTTGCATGTTTCTTTGACCAGGTCCTGGAGTATGTGGAGTGTTTCACTGGACCCAACATTATGGCCATGCACACCATGTTGATCAACAAACCTCCAGATGCAGGTATTGAACTACATCCGAACAACAGTACATCCTTCTGTCTGTTCAACCAAAATTCCCTGTGTTTTATGCACTACGAACAAGACGCAATGTAACATATGAAACTATTGTTCAATTTAGTGTTATATATTATGTTGACAAATTAGGACGGACTGCGGTAGAGGGGATCTTTCAGACAAATCTCGTTCAAAAAATAAAAGATTCCTGTTACCTGTTTGTTAGCTGTTATATCTGTAAAAAAAAGAAAAGAAAAGAAGATTATTCAAAATATTTGTTTTGAATTGTTAATAGTTCATTCCACTGATAGACAGCAAAGGCTTCCTATTTTTTTTATATCTTAATTGATTATGATATTTGTTTTAGGAAAGAAGACCTCTCGTCACCCAATGCACCAGGACCTACATTACTTCCCATTCAGACCTGCACACCGGATCGTCTGTGCCTGGACCGCCATGGAGACTGTGAACAGACAGAACGGCTGCCTGGTGGTCCTACCTGGGACCCACACTGGCACTCTGAAGGAGCATGACTATCCTGAATGGGAGGTGAGAACTGAACAGATCAGATGATCAAAAATCTGTTTACACTACACAGGAAGCTTTACTAAAGTATTAGTAAACTATTGGCTCTTTGGAATGTCGCATGAATGCAACCTAAACTTATTCCTCACCGTCCTGCAGAGACTACTATGTTTTTTCTCCAATCTTTTAGAAGGCCTTTTGTAGATCAGTGCCGAGTCACAAGCATTTGGGTTTGGGTTTAAACATTATAGAGATGATCTGACCTGCTTTCATGATTCAGGGTGGTGTGAATAAGATGTACCATGGAGTGAGGGACTTTGACCCAGCACATCCCAGAGTGCACCTGGAGATGCAGAAAGGGGACACCGTGTTCTTCCACCCGCTGCTCATCCACGGGTCGGGCATGAACCAGACAAAAGGATTCCGCAAGGTGCACAACCTCACTATTCTCATAATACGAAAAATACAATTGTTTTCAGTGTTTTATGAAGTGATGGCAATGCGTTCTTTAAAAAATAAAAAATAAATAGAACTTAAGTTTATACATTAATTTGGGTATGTAAAATATATATTTAGAACTTTACAAATATATTCACGAGATCTTCACCTCATGCTAATCAAAGGTAAATGCATTGTCGATGTTGTAATCTATTCTAATACTCTTGTAGAATTGAAGTAAATATATTTAGTGTGTGTACTTTAATTGAATGGAGGTATTTATAATGTATTCACATTTGGGTGTTGTGTTGTAGGCAATCTCCTGTCACTACGCTGCTGCTGAGTGCTACTACATTGACGTTAAAGGCACCACACAAGAGAATATTGAGAAGGAAGTGAAAGAACTGGCGCATAAGAGATACAATTTGGACCATATCAGCTTCCAGGTTAGCAGTCGCACCAAACACATACGAAATACAAAAGTCAATAAAGCAGTGGTAACAGCAGCTGTGAGCATTACAGACATGTAGATGATGTTAGGTGTTTTTAGTGTGGAAGTACCTGAGATGAAACTCGGACCAGTGATCTGTTATTGCACATTATTAGCTCAGGTGTTTTTGAAAATATTTAATAAATATTTCTGTTTTTCAGGACACATGGGCTTTCAGAGGAAGACTTGTGAAAGGAGACAGAATTTCCTTGTGAATTCAAATTTCATTAATAGTGTTTTTTAATTTAGAGATTTGATCTAAACAAATTCTTTATTATGAAAGAGCACTTACAAAACTCAACAACATAATAAGTTACTTTTATGAGGGTGCGAAACTGTTCTTTAATAAAGAAAATAAAGAAAGAAGTGAAATTCCTGTGGTGCCTTATTAATGTAAAAATGTACCTACATTTTAATTATTTTAAATAATAAATTTAATGCAGCACTTTTGAGAGTCTGTTTTTATTTATTTATTTGGTTGACAGGGACATTGTACAATACATGTATTGTGCAGACTGAACATAGCTGCTAGGTCATTTTCTTCCATAGTCCCTGGTTAGAGGCAAAGTGATAGCAGGTGTATGGTGTACAAATAATATATGTGGAATATAATGGCCTAATGACCATTTAAAATACAGGTTAAATGTAACATCTATAACCACAAAGAGACAATATACAGTATGTTGAGGAAGTGGCACCAGATTTAGAAGCATTTTTTCCCCAAACACGCTTTAAACAGCTCTAAATAAAACCAGTTATAATATGAGAGTAACCATTCTGGGCTTTGTATGAAGTGGAAATTAATTATTCTCTCATTTTGCAACGAAGGGCACCCCATATCCTTATTGTGAAATAGTGCTTTATAGCTTTACCTGGAAAGTGTTATGATGTGTTTTCTCGATGGGAATCCACACAGCTGGAAACTCGCTGCGGAATCCCAGAGAAACTAATTGCAGACAGGAGGAAAAAGTCCACCTGTTTTTCACTGTTCATGGGCCACATACCTGAGATCTGCGTTATGTAACCTGCAGAATCAGAATCTGATTTTCAGTGAACAGGAAATTATAGCTATATTACATCATTATAGGCAGCAATAATCCTCGTTTAGGCTCATTTTGAATTTTTTTAAGAGTTGCCAACAGGACAAGCAACAAGTAGCCATGTTTTTCTCATTCCAAGTGAGAATTAGACAGTTTGGGTTGTCAAATCTAGTTTAAAAGCTGACAAATTTGACTAAAATCAAGATAAATGTCATTTAATTCAACCCTAACTCTTGACAGTTTTGTTGGGCATACAAATCTTACTAATACAATTCTAAATTATTTTGCAGATAATAGCAACATCCAAGTGTGCAGGTTTTCAAGTTATAAAGAGTACAGTGTTAAAAATCCTATAGAAACTAATACAAAGATACACTCCACCACAAAGAGACATTTTTATACCATTAACAATTATTTTGATGTAAAGGCATTTTTGTGTGTTTTGATTTCACTTTGATGCAATTTCTGTTGTATTAATTGAACCAATAACCATAAATAATATCAGCTTTGATGTTTTTTTCTCCTTGCCCCTTTTTTCCAAATCCCATGATAATGGAGTTCCCAGCCCTGGTCTCAAAGTGTGCTGTTTTACCACTCTTTCTCAGCCAGTATTTTCTCTCTCCTTTCTCTCCTCTCTGTCGTCCCTCGTCTGGTTTGTCTCTTGTCTGCCTCACTGCACTGAAGAAACAATAATACTTCTGCAGCTAAAGTTTCTCAAGATGATTTGGACAAAAGCTGTTGTAGCATCTTCATTGACAATCTTCCTCATTACAAGTGAGTATTTCATTATAAGTTGAAGTTAACCTGCTTTTTTTGTCTGCTTTTTCCTTTTTCCCGTTGATAGTTTATATTCTGAACTGCTAAATGCAATATAGAAATAATGCATTATTGCTACACAGTAAAAAAATAATACAAATCTGTTATTTTTTATATTTTTGATTGGATGGTTTTTGCTAGGATAGTGTGCAAATGCATTCAAATAAGATCAAAATAAATTATTTTAAACTAAGAAAGATAGTAGTAGTTCAAAAGCTTTACATATAAGATCTATTTTTTATACTTTTTATGTCAGTTTCCATTGGAGCAGAGAATGCAGTAGTGGACGGTGATGCAAAAACAGAAGCACAAACAGGTAACAGAGTGATGCTTACTTAAAACTTTGCACATTGTTTTTTTGTTGCCGTTTTTTGGCTTATTTAAAACTTCACAAAGACTTATTTTTTGAAAGCCATAAACAAAGTAACAAACAACTGATGTGAGTGTGATTTTTTTTAACTAATGTGTGGTGCTGTGTTATGGTCCTGACAAACTCCTTGGAAATTCATGTATCTTTTTATTTTATTTTTTATCACAGTTGATTGTTACTTTGTTAAGGGAAAAACATTTGTAAGGATCAAGATGAGCAAAAGTTCAGGTTGTATTCCTACTTTTGCTGATTACTGTGACCTTATTCTTTCACTCAAACCACGGGGCAGGGCGCCAGGTGTTCATGGCCGAATCAGACGCAACAAACTTTTTCAAGCGCCGCAGCCGTCGGTCCACCTATGCCGAACGTATAGGTAAGTGGGTTTTTCTCAGAGAAGGTCAAATGTAGATACATGTATACAACTCTGATGAAAGATAATTCACTGAAATCCTATACTTACTGAGCTAATGGTAAAGCTTTTATATTACACGTACTTAAATAAAAAATAAAAAGTGAAATGCATTTTTGCTCAAAAAGATGGACAATATATTAATTTGAGAAATAAAGCGTTGCCTATAAAACACTTTGTTAAAGCGTAAGAGATATTTCATTCTGGCATGAAAAAAAAACAATAAGCAAAACATGTAGTAACAGAATGCAGCTTTTATACTACCGAATTTGGAACTATACTTGGAACTATCTATAAAATTATCAATTAATTTAGCTGGTAACTGTATTGGTTCAATTGGACCTCTTGCAGCGTGGAGCTAATAGCTATAAAACTATAACTTTATACACTTTTAGTAAGTAAGTTTTCTAAGCCTATTTTTAAATGTAATAAATCGTAAAAATAACAATAAAAAATACATGTGTCTCTCAATGAACCACATATTTCTATGCAGAACAGAAGAAAAACGATACTCTATTGATCCACAAGGGAAATTGAGCTGTTATTATTGTAATAATTAGTTTGATCATTTCCATAATTTTTCTCATCAATCATTCTGTGTAAAAAACCCTCTATGGTTTTGGGTAAGGAAATTGCAAACTTTGACAGAGTGTGAGCATGGTGATATTATGACTGCTCCATGGAAATAGTACAGAGTTTAACAGGGGAAAGTAAAAGCAGGTGTGTCTGACAGTTGGAGCTTTTGGCTCCTCACACATTTCGTGAAAACAGAAGCAGCAGGAGTTGCGGGACACACTGGAGAAAGACCTTTCTCATATTGGTAGAGAAGAGAACAGACCTCCTTAAAAAAGTCCTGCATCCAGGCGGTGATTCAGATCACCACCAAATGGATTCACTTGTTGGATTATGGATGGATTATGTTGCTCACTGACTGACTGACCGACGGACTGACCGAACAGACCAGAAATACCAGCCAAAGCAGACCAATCCAACCAACAGACCAGACACACGACCAGACAGGACTGGTGATCACTTTACCTCCTGAGCAGAAGTACAAAATATATTAGTGACATGTTAGTCCCATATGAACCAGCCCGGACTCTGAGGAGCACAGGGACTGGACTCCTGTTAGTGCCCAGAGTCAGGACTAAACATGGGGAGGCTGCTTTTCAGATTCATGCTGCTAAAATCTGGAACAATCTTCCTCAAGATGTGAGACAGGCCTCCTCTCTGACAATGTTTAAGACAAGGTTAAAAACGGTGCTGTTTAGCTGTGCATACAACTGAGGGATTGTATATTTTTTTCTTTCTTTTTAATGTTCTGTGATTATTTATGATTTTAATGCTTTCTTATTTTGTTCAGCACTTTGAATTGCCTTGTGTATGAATTGTGCTATATAAATAAACTTGCCTTGCCTTACAAAATGAACAGCAATTTAACACATAAAACAGACCACAAAATGACTAGAAAAACAGTTTAAAAATGTAATCTATACAATTATTTTTATAGGATTTTATTCTGAACAAGTGACAATTTTGTTCACAGAAATGTTCACACTTGTTGTTTTGTTGTTGTTATTGTTTAACTTCATTGCATGTTGCTCAGAAAAAAATAAAAATAAAAATAGATGAGCCCTTTTTAAAAATATACTTGTACCGAGATCTGGTTATGCACTAAAATACAATAAAGATAAGATAAGAGATCCTTTATTTGTCCCACAGTGGAGAAATTTCCAAGATCTTGCGAATCTAAGCAATGTGGTGTCTGGTTATTATTAAGATGTGAGACAGGAAAAACACTATGCCCATTGCTATTGTGTCAATTGATGTGGTGGCTGAGGACTATTGGTTAGTTATTACAAAAAATCTAGTCAGTATAGCTTCCAATTCAGTAAAAATGATAAAAGTGTTAATATAGACATTATTGCTAGAGAATTGGACTTTGGCCTGAAGGTCGAGGGTTTGAGCCCACCACAAGACCTACTTCAAAACTTCCACTGATGTCTGCTGCCGTTGCGTCCTTGGGCAAGACACTTAATCCCACTTTGCCTGAAGCCCCCGCTGAAGGATCAAGGCCCCTCAGCCTAGAGCAGCCATCCTCCTGTGGACTCACCACCTGCAGGAGGATCAGTGAGGGGCTGGTGCTCTGTGAATCGGGTGTAGCTCTGACTGCTAGCCCCCCAACCCAGAAATAGATTAAGGGGAATAAAATGGATGGATAGATAGTGATTATATAAGAGATTTCTGTGTTGCAGCACAAATGTAGGACTGTAGGAAAAAGGAACAAACTAAAAACAAGAGAAATACCTTTAAATGCTTCATTGGCGTTAAAATATTCAATAATGATCCAAAACAAAAGCAACATTCTCTACTAAGTTGGAGCGTATTTTTGATTTATGTGGTGTATATAAAAGAAAGTCTGTATAATGAATGGAAACAACGAACAGCCAAATTAAAAGTTTGAAAGTGTGCGTTTGTGGTTTGTGATATTAATACTTTCACTTTCCATGTGTGGCTGCAGCTGAGCAGAGAGTGCACATCGCCAACAGTGAGAGACGAAGAGAGTATAATGAGGAGCAAAGGAATGAGCACGAGAACTATTTGGAAGAGGACAGAGACGGTGAGTTCTGCATTCACCGAATTTATATAGAGGGAAATCAGGAAATGTAACTTTGCCTTCCTGTCTGAAGGCTCTTCTCATTGTATGATGTGATTGTATGATGTCATTGTACCACTATGACATCACACTCTATGGCACTTTTCGGCCTTTTAAAGAAAAAGCTGTACCTGTAAAATAGTTTTAATAATCTCTCAAGTGAAACAAGATTCTTTACAATTGCAGGCTGTTTGCAAGCAGTCCTTTTCCAATTTAGATGAAAACAAAAAAAAAAACACTTCCCTCTGGTGGTGGCATAGAGAATTACAGGCGGAAAGCATTGTTTCACCTTTTCTGCTTGTTTTACCATACTGTACATTTTCTACCTCAGATACAATTTAATTTTCTAAAACATGAAATGACAAAATAATTATCATAAATTATTTTTGTCCATTAAACATGCCTCTTCCACAGAACAACTGGAAAGAACTCGTGAGGTGAATGAACAGTTCCGGGAGTTTCACTATGACGGGCTTTACCCACGGACCTATTGGTTTCACTGAGTGTACTTTAACATTTTATCAGAATTTCAAACTCAAGTAAAATAATGTTATAACTTCTTTTTATCTACATGCTGTAAATTCCATTGTGTATTCCATTACTCATGCATTTGATGTTGTGCATGCTACTCATGTATCTGCCATTACATACATGCATGTCTATACTTTGTAAAAACTCTATTCACAAAATAAATATTTGTGTATATCTTTAAAAAGAAAAAAAACAAATGCATTTTCCTTTTCTCTAGACCCTTTTTGGTATTTGAACTATTTAGGAGAAGACTGGTGAGCTGCAAAAGTCATCATGCTCAGAGAGGATCAGCAGTGGAATTTTTACTAAAAAAAGGTGAAAAAAAATAGAGCTGGGACTGGCCAGAGACAGAAACGGTATTATAAATGAGTTGAACGTGGAATGGAAAATTGGTGATCATTTTGCCGAAATCCAAGAGGAGTCACGTTTGTACCTTTCATAGATTTGAAAACAGAATCAATCAAAGATGGATATGTCATTCAGTTACTTTAATAAAATCGGTTAATTTAAAAGCAGATATTATAAAAACACATACTAAAATATATTTTAAAATCCTAATTAAAATCCCAGTTTCTTCGGTGTTGAAAATGAACACCCATCACTTGCTGTTGAGGAACTTGCCATGTTCTTCTCCTCGAGGTAAAAGTAGCTCTCCGCCAATTTTAGGACCCGATTTCTCCTGAAAATCAATTAAAAAAACAATTTATTTCAAATTAAAAGTGGAGAAGTAAAGAATGCAGCCCACACTGGTTTACCTTGAACATCCCATCGCGCTCCCATTTGAAGAGGCCACAGTTGCTGAAAGATTAGAAATTAGAATGATATTAATAACTCAACTGAAGAAAATATAGAAATTAATACATATACAAATTCTGCTGGTAAAGACAAACAAAACTCCAGCCCTTTTGTTTCTTTTTAAGCTTGAAATTTGGCAACATCAAACGTAATACCTTTTAATGATTAAAATGGTCATTTGGGGTTATCCTGTTTAATCCATCATTATGTGGATTCAGTGTTAATGTGTTGATACGGTGTGTGTCCTGTGCTAAAGAAGTGCTCTCTCCATCACATGTGGCCACAGAGCAGCCCTCATCTGCCTTTTCAGTGGAAACAGGAACTTAAAACATGATAAGTTTTTCTCATTGTCTGAAGTAAAACTTTTTAGATCAAAATATAATGAATTCTAAAGAGTTTCATAACATTTTGGTAAAAAATATCTGACCTAATTACACAACTAAACTAAATCCTTGTCTTTTCAACTTGTGGCGCAGGTGCATTTGAAAGTCTGATTCCATCAGAACTCAGAAGATAAGCTGGGTAGGGCCTGGTTAACACTGTACCATCAGACCTTGTTTACAGCTTTGTGTATGAGTCTGACGTGTGATTGAATAGTCAGTCAAATATATACTGCCTATAAAAATCCTAAACACAGATAAAAGTAATCAGGGCTACAGGATGGGCCCTGGTCCAATTTATGTCTTTTGCATAAAGCAAAAGACATAAATAAAGAAATACAGTTAGCGTGTATTTCAGAGGTGTAGTGAGTTACCTGCAGTGCTTGTTGGGCAGCCTGTCCAGAGCGATGGACCTCTGACCACAGGGGCATTTGAAAAAGCGTTTGACTGCATCATGCCATTTCAGAGCATGGTTCTCCCCCACGCAGCGATCCGCCGGCTTAAAGTATGTGTATTTACACTGTAGAAAGAAACATGTGGTTTTCTGTGTTTAAACTTCACAAAAGCACAATGACATGACATCATCACAACCTATTAGTTCTTCTACGTCTTTTGTTTAAAAAGAGATTAAATATATCATCAAGCAAACCGTACGTTTTTACACGTGACAGCTCGACACTTCATTTCTCTGATGCCCTTCATTTTGTCCTCCATCTGCTCCTTCTTCACCAGAGCATCAAAGTAGCGTTCCTGCAGCTGGTACTCGGCCTGAATACAAAAGGCAAGGTGAGTAATTAAATCTGCTTCAGCAGTAGTTTATGCTTAGACTTTTAAATCATTCATAAAGTGGTCTCATACAGCCTGCAGTACAGCATTGTGCCTGGATTTGGCTTTGAGAATCTTCTGGAATTCCTCTGACTCGATGTATTCCTGCTGCGTTTTTCTTTTTTTCTGAGCGGACTCTTCCTCATTACTCGACCCACCTTCACAGACAAATAAAAACCTTGCTTAGATTAAGTGACAAGTGTTCTAGACAAGTCCAAGACAACTTACCCAATCTCATTAAACATTTGAATGCAGACTACATTAAACAGACAGACATCTGGATCAACTTTCATCACTAAATGGTCAATACAGAGAATAATTACATTTAGACAAATCTTCTTTAGTCTCATTTATGCATCCAGTTTAGGGTTGTCTTGATAAATACTAAACTAAAATAACATCATCAGTGGAGTGAAAACTTTTATTTTCTTATTTTTTTCCTTCTTTAATCTTTAATTCAGACACATAAAACCTTTGTAACACTTATATCCTTATATTAACATTATAGAAAGAAGAGGCTAATGACAATACTGTATAATTAAAACTTGTTTACTTTTTGGCGATGAGCGGTTATTCTCCACTCGTACATTGATGTCATTGCTGCTGCTTCTTTTCCTCTTCACTGCATTTGGATCTTCCTTTTCCAGTCCTGTCCCTTTGGCCCTCAGCTTCTTCAGGGCGGAAAGTTTAGCAGCGGACAGGCTCGGGCTGGTCAGGGTTGGGGGTGAGAGGGGGCCGTTGTCAAAGAAGAGGATGTCGTCCCCCTCGGAGAAGCCCCGTCCCAGGGTAGGAGCGGAGGACGTGGAGGACGTGGAGGGTAGAGCTGGACCCTGAACACACTTGGGGACCTCTGAGGCCCCTTTTGGAGACAAGAGGGCGTTTCGTTGTCTGCGGGCAGTGAGGAGGTCGCGCTGCTTTTGCTTCTGCTGTTTTAGAAGATCTGAAGCGGAAATGGATTGGACTGGAACACCCTCTGTGTTTTTCACTGCTGCGGGAGAACAAGGAATAAGGGCAGAGAAATTAGTAGTCAGATTTATGCAGCATTTTTCATGTAAATGGAACAACGGAGACTGTCAAGAAGACAGTGTTACATTATCCCCTGTTATTGTACTAAATACATTATATATTATATTAATATATAATATATAATATCAGATTCATTTATTTGCCATTTGCAGTAAAACCACATTGGAATACATTTGCAAAGGTCCCCAGTGTGAACCAGAAGAGTACATAAACAAAACAAGATTAAAAGTGCAAAAATAAAGCAAACAAAACAGTAAACAATTGACACTGAAATCGATCGATTAAAACAGTTTCAATACAAGTGATGACAGCTTGTGGGAATAAGCCGTTAGCAAATCGAGATCTCCTGCACATCAGAATAGTGCACACCAGAGCTCTTACAGCGGCGCCCTGACTCTGCGCCATCTTTTAGTATATAAAGTCATTATGTACTTGAACAAATGCAATACAAATTGTTTCAAACTACCGGTACGATAAATGTTCACCTGTCTGGTTATGAGTTAAATGTTTCTTCAGCTGCAGGGCTCCAGGAGTGGGTGCAGACATCAGACCTTTGAACTCATCAGAGCATCCAGAAACATTCCCAGACTGCAGGGCTGGAAAAAAACAAAAATTAATAATAATACGGGTACGTTATATATAGTTTATAAGCATTTAGCAATTGTTTATTGTAAAAAAGACTGACCAAGTCTTTTAGCCTGAGCCACATGTTGCGCTGATCCTCTAATAAAAAGTTTGTCCAGAGTAGTCTGCCCCGATTTGTTCGGTTTGGATGCTCCACTGAAATAAAAATATACATTAAGAGAGTAATTATATTTGTTTTACATGGTTTAACAATGTATAGATATAGTATAATAGTAATAATCTGGAGGCTCACATTGAGGCGGCGCAGGCTGCAGACGACACTCCCCCGTAGTAAAATCCGTTCTGACACAGTTTCTCTCTCAGATTTACTCCTTTTCCTTTGAGTTTGTTTGGAGCTTTTCCCGAGTACGACGACTGCAGCTCCGCCCTCTTTGAGCTCATCTTCTTGTACTGGGCTTTGACGTGATACTGACAAAACTGGCATTCATACTTAAAACAATATACAGACATACGTTAGGACAGAGGGATGTAGATATCCAATGGAATGTATTTCAGCAGTTATCAGGTATCTTTCAACTTGTAACCTTTACATTATTCAAATTATCATAACATAATAATAATGAAAGAATGACACAATCAAATGTCATCCATCTACATTATGGCTGTGTCAATTATTTGTATGTTTACCATCTAAAAAACATTACCAGGATCAAAAACATAGCGTCTAAAGCAGACTTGGAGATTCTTATCCATGCATTTGTCTCCAGTAGGTTAGACTACTGCAATGGCCTGCTCACAGGTCTGTCCAAACAGGCTGTAAAACAGCTGCAGTACATTCAAAATGCAGCAGCTCGAGTCCTGACTAGAACCAGGAAGTACGACCACATTAGTCCAGTTCTCAGGTCTCTGCACTGGCTTCCTGTGGCTCAGAGAATAGACTTTAAAACAGCTCTGCTTGTGTACAAGTCTCTCCATGGCCTCGCACCAAAATATATTAGTGACATGTTAGTACCACACGAACCAGCCCGGACTCTGAGGAGCACAGGGACTGGACTCCTGTTAGTGCCCAGAGTCAGGACTAAACATGGGGAGGCTGCTTTTCAGAATCATGCTGCTAAAATCTGGAACAGTCTTCCTGAAGATGTGAGACAGGCCTCCTCTCTGACAATGTTTAAAACCAGGTTAAAGACGGTTCTGTTTAGCTGTGCATACAACTGAGGGATTTTCTTTTTTTTTAATGTACTGTGATTACTTATGATTTTAATGCTTTCTTGTTTTGTTCAGCACTTTGAGTTGCCTTGTGTATGAATTGTGCTATACAAATAAACTTGCCTTGCCTATGTTAATGTATTTCCTATCTCAATTTTGCTTCAAACTATTGCTTGGTTTTAACACATATTGCCCCCATGCAGTGAATGTTTTTGTGTGTGAGAGGAAAAGGTTAATAAAATAATGAGAATTGGTGATATTCAGACGTACGATATTGACAATCTGTGAGCAGGGTTCTCCATTCTTCTTCACTCCTTTACACGTCCCAAAGTCTTGAGCTTCACCCAACAGCAGCACTTTCTGAGGGTGGTCTACTGTCAGACTCACCTGCACAAGCAGAAAATTGATACGTTTTCAAAAGATCAAGCTTTTATCTACTTTCCTTTTATGTTGCTTTAGTATTCTTAAATGCAAATCATGATTGTATTTGTAATATAGTTTTGGTTTTGAATAAACTCCAGACTCCGACAGTACAAGAAATGCAGGTGAATGAAAACTGTATGAATGAACCATTACTTTCACTTGAGTATGCCACAAAATACACAAATGAGAGGAAATATCTCAGGAAACTTAGATTATAGATCAGAGCAATAACAGGAGGGAGCAGAGGGGGTGCCAACAGGACCATTACACCCAACATGCCAATCCAAATAAGGAAGGACAACGCTTTAATACAGAGGGAAGCAGTGATGCCGAAAAGCCTATGCTACTAAAAGTACCCCGTCATATCCATCCTTCTGTTTCATGGGGTTTGGGTTCAGAAGGCCAATCACGCTGCCCGTTTCCGTTTTCCAATGTTCTTTATGAACTTCACCAAACAACAGAAGCGACACAAACACCTCCATGTTGTGAAGATCATTCAGCTTCCAGACACTGAAAGTTTTACCCTGTAGAGAAACAAGTCACAGAATTACATGGACGAATAAAATATATTACCAAGATCTGTATTAAGGCTGAAGTTTATTCATATTGATAATAGTTAGAGGTCACTCACGCTACTGCTGCTCTGTGGTGTGGCCTTACTGACCACTACGGCAAAGGTCACCCAGTCACTGTCCTCTAATTTCTCACGAGCTAAACGTTCAGGGACCTGGGACAATCGGATTAAACGTCGATCCGTCATCCTACGATCCATTTCAGTTGAGGATACACGAGGCTTTCTAGACAAGATAGATGTACCACACTTATTGTGAGCTCTGAGGCCCAAAGGATCATATATTGACACTACCTAAAAAGGTAATATGTACGATTACAATCCAACTATTGTTTCCAGAATCCTACTGTCAGTGACACATGTAGCTTCTGCACTGAATATTTTAGCATCTCCTTTGATTTAAAGACATGTGTGGGGATGTTTTTTTGTTTGTAAATTTTCTAATGAAAAAAATAAAATATAGAGCCAAAACCAGCAAAATTTACCAACTGTCAACCCAAATGAGACTAATTCTGCTCTCCAATTGGAAAATCAACTTGAAAAGTGTGAACATAAATATGATTATAATTACAACTAGAATAAGTTTCTCACCTTAGTCTGAGACCAGAGTATTTTTCTATAGCTACATCTTGAGGCAGAACTGGGAGAGCAGAGGGTCTGTTCGCACCCACAAAGGTGCCTAAACTTGGCCCAGGTTCTGCTCTGGTGTTGAACGAAGAAGAGCGCAGAGGATTGGAGGCAGTCGTTTCCACGGGGAGAAAAGAACTTCCCAACTTAATCTCTACTAGTGGACATCTGCCCTCTAGAAAAAAAAAAATACAGTTAAGTCATGTAATGCTTTGTATTTAAAAAATTGTTATTCCAGCACTAAAGCATGGAGGCATAGTAACCTAACAGTTATGTACCTGGTGATGTACTGGGTTGGTGAGCTACTCTTGGTTTCCGTTTGAAGGAATCTGCATTATTGAGCTGCTCAGAGAAGTCGGAGGACTCTTGCACCTTTTTCAGTAAAGAGGGTGTATTTCTGGTCATTTTCTCTGTGAAAAAGGAAAATTGACAATAGTATTTACCGTCACAGAAAATGTAAACAATTGAAGGAAAAAAGTCCATTAAAGAATCCTATTTTTTTACCTCCTGGGGATTTACCTTTCTGCAATTGATCTGGTTTGGATGAGTTTGGTTTTAAAGTTTTCTGTTGTAATGGAGTTTTTGGAGAAACAGGAGGTTTGGATGAGGCCTTCTGGCTCATTGCAAGTTTCTGCTGTAGTTTCTGCATCTCTTCTTGCATCCTCTTCAGCTCATCTGAAAAAATACAGAATGAAAATCACAATTAGTATGGGTTCACACATTGTTTCAACAAAATAGTGTTCTATTCGAGAAACAAGCTACTTAAAAAGGAATAGATCATGCTATATAACAAGAGCAAAAGTGAGATTGACGCGCACATCAAATTTTGAGCAGCGTGCAAAAAAGTCGAAAATAGATGAATGAAAGAAATGGAGATGACTCTGCACAGCTTTTGCTCCCAGGAGATTTTAATAATCACCACAAAATGTGACGTTTCGGGTCACTACCCTTCATCAGACATGAAGGGTAGTGTCTGATGAAGGGTAGTGACCTGAAACGTCACATTTTGTGGTGATAATTAAAATCACCTGGGAGCAAAAGCTGTGCAGAGTCATCTCCATTTCTTTCATTCATGCTATATAACAAACCTTGTAAATCCTCTTTGGACTTGTTTTCCTCCTGCTCCACGTCCTCCACGTCCTCCACGTCTCCGAACAGCTCAGAAAGTTGGTCTTTTGTCTCCTCTGCATCTTCCTTGTATTCCTCTCCATCATTTTCCTCATCAAACAGATTGTCCAGATCATCGGCCTGGCCCTGATCCTGGTCCTGCTGGTGCTGCTGCTCCTCAACACCTTCACTCTCCTCCAAAAGAGCAGTCAGAATGTCCAAGTCATCTTCACCTGAAAAATACACATTTATGAACACATTTAAATCTTACATTCATAAGTTATATCTGTTTATAATACAAAATACTTACTTTCCATCTTTTGTGTTTTTCTTAAATAAATAAAAACCTACAACAAAAACAAAGGGGATAGGGCTAGGGTTAATGAAGATCTAAACTGGTTAAAATAAGTTTACAACAGTTCACATTGTGTAAAAAAAAAAGCAAAGTATAATAGATTATAATATTATTTGATATAATGATACGATCCATTACATCTTAACATCATCAATTGCAAAGTACAAAACTGGTTCTTAGGCGTTGATAAAAAATATCTTCAATTCGTAGGACTATAACATATAGAAATCAATGTTTAGTTTAGATTAAGAGTCATATGGTTTGGTAAGGGGTTAAATTTATCTTATTTACCAAGATTCAACTTCCTTGCAGATACGCAGGCACTTACCACAAAACAGATTTGCGTTGAGTTTTGACAGCGGTGAAACGTGTCCGTCAGAGTAATGACTAAATAAATGTGTTACAAATTATCATTTGAGGAGAGAAATCACAATTATCAAGAGAAAAAGTATCAGAGATACATAACAGCAAAGGGACCAGTGATCCAAACTGGCGCTAAACTGAGGACCCCACCGTGTTGTCACTTTACAGTCAGGTAGCCTGCGCTCTGCCTGAAGAAAACGTTTCCCGAAGAACCATACCGTAATCATGGATCTATTATGATAACCGTAATATACCCCCGATACCATGGTCTGTGCCAAGATCCAAACTGCCTGAATAAATATCTACATTCAAAATAAAAAAATCAACGGATACTGACGGAATCTAGCATTAATGTTCATGTTTTTGTTGCTCTCAATTTTTGTATTGCAGGCATAGCAGTAGGACACATAACTATCGTACGGATAATTGCTTATGCCATCTCGATATTATTAGATTCATGTGGCGACTACATTGCCAAAGAAACACATTGCTATAAAAAAAAAAAAAGTAAACACTCGTAAAAAAATAAACATTAGACTTCCATTCAGATATAGATTTATTTACTTTGTCAACAGAAACCTTCAACTCAAGTGACGGTCCAATCTGATCAGTCAAAAATCAAGACAATAATATTTGCTACATTATACTTGATCACAAATATTTAGGGCCAAAAATATATTATTGCATTTTAAAATGCTACAATAATGAATTGTGTACATACCATCTTTGATGTTTATTTTGCAAAATGTATTGGAAAATACACAGCACACTCGGATAGATGTCCAAAAGATCTAGTATTTATTACGTTTCGGCCTTAGCCTTCGTCAGATCATTTTTATCTTATTCATTTGGATCACAAATTTGATCCAAAATGAATAAGATAAAAATGATCTGACGAAGGCTAAGGCCGAAACGTAATAAATACTAGATCTTTTGGACATCTATCCGAGTGTGCTGTGTATTTTCCAATACATTTAATTTCTGCTCCAGCACATGCACCTCATAAGAAGAACTTGGTGTGCGTTTTTGTTTTTCTAGTTTTATTTTGCAAAAGTAGCATGGAACAATCATGCAAAGAAATATCCTCTAGTTTTAAAACAACTTGTATAATATCTGGTGTGGTAAAGATTTCTAGAGACTTTCTTTGTCAGTAAAATACAAGTACCACTTAACTAATTTGTTAAAAAACATTAAAATAAAAACTCTAAAATAAATCCACCATATAAAACAACAGATCAATACCCTGACCATATACTCTAAGTTTGTAATTTTCATTCATAAAGGTATATTTGATGCCATTATACATTCTTGCAAATTTTGAAGAGTGCATATAGACAAAGAGGGGTTGTTACAATAATTGTCGAAAGAAGGAGGAAGAAGAAGAAGACTGAAGAATAAGGTCCAATGTTTTTTTAGCAGAGATCAGTTAATGCAGTCCATGATGTGGATCTGAAGTGAATCCAGGTCAGGTAAAATCTCGTTGCATTTGGGACATGCATGCTCTGGAATGTTTCCCTGTTGCCACTCTGCTCCTGTCAAACAGAAAGCAACAAATTATTCTTCAAAAGTAGAATTTTGTGACTTTAAATGTATAGTGATTTCTGCTTGAGATAGTTTTCTTATATACAGCTTTAGATAATTTCTTACTACGCTTTATTTGTACAATCACACAAACCTCTTCCAACTAATGAAGGTTGATTTCCTCCACCATGCCTCCTCTGCATCTCATTAAGCGAATGTCTACAACCAAAAATACAGTGTAAAGAATCTGAATAAATGCAGATAGTAATGAGTTAAATAACTAGTTACCGTCCCAGTGACTCCAGCTCGTCCTGAAGCTGACCATTCTGACTTTTCACAAACTCCAGCTGAGTAGCCAGGCGCTCTTTCTCCTCGTGGATCTTTTCTCTAGCTGCACGCTCTGCCTGGAAGTCTGACGAGTACACCTCAGCCTTATCACAGAACAGGAAAGTATAGGTTCAATATGACCAAGAGCAAACAAGAAACTATCATGTGTTTTTATATTTTTTTATTTAAACAAACCTGAAGCTTGAACAGTTGGATTTCTTCCAGCTCCGTCTCCTTCTTATAAAGCTCCTGTTTCATTTCATCGATTCGTTCTTGTTTTGCGACTAAGGCCTCCTCAGCAGCGCTCAGTCTCTTCTCAAGATCCACAACCATTTCTTTCTGCACAAACTGGGACTAGTGGCAAAGAACACAATTTCACATAGATGTATATACTTTATTACACAGTATATCAAAAAACATACACAAAAACAGTCAACCTTGGTTTAGCTTCAAGAAATGGTACTTACAAAAGGTTATGTTCAATTAGTTGTTTTTGTTAATTTAATCAGGGGCTGAGGCTATTTGAGTCATTGTAATACAATGACAAACCATTTAGTTTTATACAACAATTATAGTCCAAAGGATTTACCTCTCGCTTCTTCCTCTCCTCCTTCATCTCATTGTAATCTTCAAATAACTTTGTATATGCTTCTTTCAACTGGCCAAAATCATTCCTGCGGTGGACATATGATTGTAATTATATAGGTATGAGAAAGGAAGTGTTTGCAGTTGTTTTAGAAGTACAATGACATATACATATTACAAAACTAACCTTGCGTCTCCTGCCTTTCTCAGTTCCACCAGGCTCTGCGCTTGCATACTGTCGATCTGCAGCTTCAGGCGTTCATTTTCAGATTGGACTGTATGTCTGTCCACTAACTGAGCCTTAAGAGTGACAACATCCTGCTCAACCTCACGACATCTGCATGGAGAAAAGTAGACAAATATTTCACCAAGAAAAATAAATAAAAAATGTATACAATATTTGGTTAGGGTTAGGGTTAATACATTTAAAATACATTTTATTATTTTAACATCTTGTTTGCAATAAATTGTTAATTTAGACCTCAAAGTATGTAAAGTTTGGTTCTATCACTAGTTTTCACATGACTGTGTTTGGCCTCGGTCACATCTCTGTCAGAAGTGGATCTTTGGATTAAGAGATCTCTTTCAAATAGTGACTCTATCAAGTATGTGAAAGATAACATGCACCGAAACATCGATTTTTAGGGGAGTGGAGGGTGAAATTAATTAATGTGTTCATTTATTTCCGGGAAGAAATTAAGACAAATGGTTTAAGCAATAAAACTTTTAGCTCACCTAAAGATAATTTTATTTTACACATACTGGATCTACCTGTCAGTGAGGTTTCTCTTCATGCCCTCAGCTTCGTCCAGTTTGCTCTGTGCTTGTTGTAAGTCTTTATACAGTGTCTTCACCTGGGTCTTCAGATTCTCCACCTCAGAAGCTGCCTACAAAACACCAAGAATAATTCAGGGCCACAAGAACACATCTTTCTTTATCTTTATTTCTTTATATACCGCCTTTCACAAACCAGAGTCAAAAAGCGGTTTACAATTGTTATTTTTGGGCATTTGTCTCTCACTCCACACAGAGGGTCGCCAGTACAGGAGGCGCATGCCAGACCTATTGTACATGTTTTTAGTGGTAGGGGAAACTGGAGCATCCGGAGGAAACCTATGCAGACACGGGGAGAACATGTAAACTCCACTCAGAAAGACCATGGATTCGAACCCAGGACCTTCTTGCTGAGAGGCGAGAGTGCTATCCACTCAGCCACCGTGCCGCCCGTACTGTACGTATGCAGTATGTTGTTGTTTCATATAATCTTTTTGTCTTATAGAATTCCATGTGAGCTAGTTTTTCGGACACGTACCATAGCGGCCTGCTGCTTGGTCTCATCTTGCTCTGAGGTCTGTGTGCACTGATCCATACTGCTCATCCTGTTCCTCAGCTCTTCCAGGGTGTCGTAAAGTTTGTTGTAACTGTTATAAACAAACGTAACAAGAAACTGATCACTACAAAATGTTTTTAATTCTCCATCTATATAGATAAGTTATAGAAGTAAGTCCATGTAGAATAAGAAGAGCTGTCAGTTAAACGCGTTAATAATGGGCTGACAAGCGCCTGGCCGTGTTTGTATGCTCCAGGGTTCTACCATAAGCAGCTGCACCCCACGCTCGCCATTGTGGAAGGCCGAGAGGCGGATCATTCTGCTTCAAAAGAAGCACTGTGTCGGGGACGTAAGGTACAGCAGGCGTGAGAAAACACTGCTGAAAACCTACTGATTACGTCCAACAATAATCACAACTATCTCCAGGTTATTCGTTATTTCCACTAGACGTGATAGTCATGTATACTGTAAAAAGCGATCTAACGGATTTGAAACATAAACAAAAGAGTAGCCTATATTAGACAATGTAAATCTATCCAATACATAAAACATTCCTAGCACAAATGCCTTCTAAGATTTGTTTGAGAAACGGACATAATCATCTGGAGAGCCACATCTTGCTCCCGAGCCAAAGGTTCCTGACCTCTGGCTCGGCTAATGTATATTTTTGTAGTTAAATGGTTGACTTGAAAAACCATAAAGCAATGGTTTGTAGTTGACATGAACGGCCTCGTACTTGGTCTGCGAGAACAGCAGCTCCTCCTGTAGCCTCTCTGCTCTCTGCGTCTCATCCCGCAGTGACTGCAGCAGCTGGCTCACAGTCACCTCCTCAGTGTCCAGCCTGGAGGCACTCATGCTCAGGTTTACAGAAGGTAACCTGGGCGCCTTCACATGCTCTGTCCCACACACCTCACTCAGACCATCTTCACCGCTGTCCTGGGAACAAATACATGTGTGGCTTACATTTACAAACATTGAATGGTTAGGCATTATAATGAAAATATACAACTACCAGTAAATAATTTGGAATAGTGGAAAAACCATTACATTTAGAATAGTTTCTCTCTGATTCTGATCAACCAGGTTTTCATTGGTGGTCCTCGAGTATGTGAGCCATAAAACTTTTGGAAATTGAATGGTTTCTACTGATCCAAGGAAAAATGTTTGTTATGACTTGTCTCTGTGAAGTCTTCTCAATTCAATTCAATAAATTCTGTATAGCCTTAAATCACAACAGTAGCCATCTCGGAGGACTTTACTAAGTTGTCGATTTGCCAATCCAGATCAGAGAATCAAACAGTTCAAGTGGCATCAATTTAGGTTTGTCTTGGTCAAATCTATAAAAATAACCAACGTCTCATCTTTCATGATCTAACCGAAAGAATAATCGCAAGAGGAATGGATTATTAAAATTCTGGTCAGTCACAGGTCTAGTTATTAGTAGTATCTCACAGTGACTTTGATGATCTCGATGAAGGAGTCGTCATTGGAGCTGTGATCGGCTTTCAGCTGCAGCTCGGAGTTCAGAGCCACCAGGTCGTTTTTCTCAGCCCGAAGACGAGCCAGCTGTATACGAAGTGCCTCTACCTCTGAGTCCTGGAAAACACGTCAATTACATCTCATGCTTAGAAATGTATCCTCCGATGTTTATCAGTATTTGTCCAATATAGAGAAATGACCTCATCCCTTTGCCCTTGAACACTACCTGTGTTTCTCCTCCTTGAGCCTCCATCTTCTTTCTGAGATCCTGTTTTTCTGCCATTAAACTCTCGATTTGGACTTTTGCGTCACACAGTTTGGTCTCCAGGAAGTTCTTATCATCTTTCTGCTTCTCTTTCCAAACGGCAAGACCCTCGAAGCGCTCCTTCATCGACATATTGGCCTTATGTAAAGCCTCTGAAAACCATAATCGTATTACTCTTACTTAATAGTAATACTATTGAACACAGTTACAGTTGACAAAATAGCAATCAATTTTACAATGACTCACCCAACCACAAAAGGCATAAACAAAATAGGTTAAGGCTAACATTAATGATGATTTTTAATCACATTTCTCCCTTAAGCATGTCCCCAGGTACTAGGTAAACTTGTTTAAACCAAATGTTGTCTTGTCTAACCATGCCTTATTGAAATATCAATGTAAACATATTCAATGCTAAAATAAGGTTGGTTTTACGTAAACTGCAGAACATCATTAATCAATGCTAAAGCAGCAGCAGTAACTTGTGTCATGTGTTTGCAGGTTACAACACTGGCAACACAGAGAGCAAGTACAGTGGGGCAAAAAAGTATTTAGTCAGCCACCAATTGCACAAGTTCTCCCATTTAAAAAGATGATGGAGGCCTGTAATTTTCCTCAAAGGTATACCTCGACTATGAGAAACAGAATGAGAAAATCATATGTCATCATGTCTGATTTTTTAAGAATTTATTTGCAAATTATGGTGGAAAATAAGTACTTGGTCAATAACAAAAAGTTCATCTCAATACTTTGTTATATACCCTTTGTTGGCACCGTCACAAGGTTTTCACACTGGTATTTGGCCCATTCCTCCATGCAGATCTCCTCGAGAGCAGTGATGTTTTGGGGCTGTCGCTGGGCAACACAGACTCTTAACTCCCTCCAGAGATTTTCTATGGGGTTGAGATCTGGAGACTGGCTAGGCCACTCCAAGACCTTGAAACGCTTCTTACGGAGCCACTACTTCGTTGCCCGTGTATTTTGTTTGGGAAAAGACCCATGCTGAAAGACCCAGCCAAGTTTCATCTTCAATTCCCCTGCTGATGGAAGGATTTTTTTATTGAAAATCTCACCTCATATACATGTCACCATTTATTCATGGATCATCCTGAATCATCCAGGTCTCTTTGCAGAAAAACAGCCCCAAAGCATGATGTTTCCACCCCCATACATCACAGTAGTTATGGTGTTCTCCTCCAAACACGATGAGTTGAGTTTTTACCAAAAAGTTCTATTTTGGTTTCATCTGACCATATGACGTTCTCCCAATCCTCTTCTAGATCATCCAATGCTTTCTAGCAAAATTCAGACAGGCCTGGACATGTACTGGTTTAAGCAGTCTGACACTGCAGAATCTGAGTCCCTGGTGGCGTAGTGTGTTACTGATGGTAGCTGTTGTTGCTTTGGTCCCAGCTCTCTGCAGGTTCCCCCTTGTGGTTCTGGGATTTTTTGCTCACCGTTCTTGTGATAATTTTGACCCCATGGGGGGAGATCTTCCGTGGAGCCCCAGGACGAGGGAGATTATCAGTGCCTTGTATGTCTTCCATTTTCTAATTATTGCTCCGAGAGTTGATTTCTTCACACCAAGCTGCTTACCTATTGCAGATTCAGATTTCCCAGTCTGGTGCAGGTCTACAATTTCATTTCTGGGTTCCTCTGACAGCTCTTTGATCTTGGCCATAGTGGAGTTTGGAGTGTGACAGTATGAAAGTCACCTGTCCACAACCTCAAACAGAGTTCAAAAAGGTGCCATTAATACAGATAACGAGTGGAGGATAGAGGAGACTCTTGACTTACAGGTCCGTGAGAGCCAGAAATCTTGCTTAATTGTAGGTGACCAAATACTTATTTTCCACGATAATTTGCAAATATGTTCTTGAAAAAAAACAGACAATGTGATTTTCTGGATTTGTTTCCTTATTCTGTCTCTCTTAGTTGAGGTATACACATAAAGGCCGGAGAGTGGGAGAACTTGCACAATTGGAGGCTGACAAAATACTTTTTTGCCCCACTGTAATTGTGTGTGCTACAGGTATATTGTACTGTATGTACCTTTCAGGTCTCTGTTTTCTTGAATGAGAATGTTCATCTGCTTCAGTGTATCCTCCAGAGCTCCGGTTTGACCAGGAGAACGGGATATGTCACCGTTCATCACCGGACCTCCTGATGCCATTATGCTGATCAAAAACAAAACAAAACTGTTAAAACGCAAATACTTCAACGAATAAATACACATGCACAATCATTTCTACTTAAATTACCAATCATAAGTTAAAAGTTGTCCTGTTACTGCTGTTACTGTTATGTTAGCTGCTAACAGTTAGCATGTTATTTATTTGGAAGAGGATGACCCTGAGTGCATGAGGTTTAGGTTTGACTTGCAACCAAGTGCATCAAGCTCCTGAACAAGCTTTGCCTAATGAGCTACAGTCGTTTTGAGACAGTCTGTCGTTCTTGAATATCCTGAACAGGTTAGCTTTATAGTCATGCAGAAAGAAGTCTGCAAAGCCTGTGGAGCAGACTGCATTCTTCCTACTCAATTGTGCCTGTTCATACCGGTCCCTAAGACAACTCCAGAGATGTGCCTAAACTAAACTGACCAACCTGTGACCCTCTAATATGTTTTGATGAAGATGTTTGAGGGGCTCATGCAGGACTTCAGTCTACTCTAAAGTGATAATCCGCATTGAATTATCTTGTCCCAGCCAGGTACCCGCATTGGGCGATGCTATTTGTAACTTTTGTTTTATTTGTAGCTTTTAAACTGGCAATTAAAAAACGGGACAATATCATGAAAACACCTAAACTTCATTTTGATTTCAGTCATAACGACTCTCACATTTCTGTTATGTTATTGATAACTCCCAAGTGCAAATTCTGGAGGAGAGAAAGAGAATGTATTTTACTTTTAAAAGTTTTCTATTTTCACAATGTCAAATGTTTTCTTCTGTACTTTAACATATTTTTAAAAGTGTGTCTTTCTACGATGTGCATAGTATTTTGCACAACTATTCCAATTGAATAATGGCAAATTACTGTTGATCAATAAATCATTTGAAATGTAAATTGAATTACCATGATTAATGTGGACTGTTTGAGTGCTTTAAATGTCTATTCAATTTTAATTTTGTTGAAAAAAAAAAGTTATGCTTGTCTGGTGTCTGCCAGGAATAGTTTATTTTCTGAAACTATGAATGACTCAGGGTTGCACTATGCACAGGCAGAAAAGACTCACAGAGGCAGTAAACTGAATAATCTCATCAGTAAATCACATGACCAGATATTCAGATACCAAAACAACAACTGTCACACTCTGGACTTTCCCAGCATTAAATTAAAGATACAGGGAAGTGCAGTTAGAGTACACAATAATAATAATACATCAAACTTGTATAGCGCTTTTTTGGACACTCAAAGACGCATCACAAGGGGAATAAAAAACAATAATAAAAAAGGGGTTTATGGAAAATCTTCTTTGAAAAGATGGGTTTTGAGACTGATTTAAAGTTTGGTAGTGAGTCAGAGTCTCTAATGGGCAGTGGGAGTGAGTTATACATGGATATTACATATAGGACTGATAGAACCCACATCAACAAAACACGTATGAAGAAAGTATGATTAGGTTAATAGATAAGAATAATGTCATTATAGTTTAAACTATAATCGAATGGATGAAAATTACAATAACATGATTTTGGATTTTGCTAATCCATTAAATTGACAATATATCTCCCATAGAGTAATGTGTATCCCCAAGTAACATAAAAAACAACAATATAATAGAACATATTGTATTATATGCGGTGTAGAATAATTAAAAACGTAAATGCGTCATTATCTAACCTAAATACTAAACTTTGCTGTTGGCCAATGGAAACAGAATGTAAACAAAGTCTAGTGGCGCGCCTGCATGAGTCATGACAATGCCCCGCTTTAAATAATTAAAAGAATACATATTTATAAATCAAAAGAACAAACTGGTTAATGAACCTATTTTCACTTTCACTTTAAATCTTTGGATCTACCGAGAATTCGAAAGTTAACCAAACACTAAGTGGCAAAGCAAGTGTCTGGGATGAGTTTTGCAAGTGCGTCATGTCACGTCTTATCAAGAAAACAAACAGATTACACTCACCTCTTTACTGCGACACAATGTCAAAATAAAGATTGTTTGGTAACGATACGACAGACAGAGAAGAGTTGAATGACACGAGCTTTTCGCAACTGCTGATGACAGGGGCAACGGAAAGTGAGGTGCACTTCCGGTTACTTCAAAATAAAAGATCTGGTACAAGAAGATCACCAAAATGGGCTGAATGGAACTGATGACTTCATATTATATATTTTATAGGTTAATCTTTCGTAACAATTGACTTTTTTTTGTAACCCTTGTTGTAGGAATTCCTCTTTTCAGAAAACCTCCAAGAGCAAATAAATCCCGTATCACGAATATTCTGGTGGATTATAAAATATTGTGTAATCTAAGCATAAATCTGTAATGGAGCCAAGATCCACCAGATCAACCAATGGATTCACGCTTCAATAATCAGTTTCTTGATTATGAATTGCAGTACATCTATGAGCCGCAGGATGTCACTATAGGTCCAGTCATTGCACAGATTGTTATGGTTACCATGGATCTATTATGATGGTTACACAGCAATCCCTTTTATTATTGTGATTAATAGATTAGTTATTAAGAATATGCATACGAGTTATACCTATATTTGAGTGGAATTAAGCAAAAGTATAGTCACTTTATTTAGACAAACTGTCTTACAGAAACATTCAAAACAAACAAACAATCAGGTGTGTTTGTTTTGAATGTTTCTGTTTTAATTATGCATCTGACATTGGAACAAAACTCACTTTTTGTTTCATAAAATATTTTACAATACCTCTATTTTTAACTTTTTAATGTTATTACTGTATTGTTATTATCTTCATGTGTAAGTCACTGTGCTCAGATAATTGCAATGGTGGCACATTTCCTAAACTTCTATAACTCACAGAAAGACTGGATAAACTGTGCGTGTGTCCTGCACGTGTGCACAGCCCAAGTAAATGTGTATGTGCTCAGTAGTGGTGGCTACTCATCAGTGGGATCTGAACCAGCCCACAGGAGTCAGAACAGCTCCAGTGTCCGACCCTCCCTCTAATCACGGACCCTGAACGCACCGCCAGCTCACCATCAGAAGACCGGGATGCAGCGCAAAGGGAGAAATCAACTACGATGATGATTATAATAATTAAATATGAACATGCATACTTTGATAAATGCAGTGCCACGGCGTAGGTACTAAATTTACTATACTTTCAAGATTTCTTTCAAGTTAGAAGTGGACGTTTCGCGCGTATATTCCAAGGAACCAAACTGCACGCCACAAAAACGCTGTATAAAGTCCAGGGCTCTGTGATCTTGACCACTTCCACAATGCTCCCAGGTGCGCTCTTGTCGCTGTTCTTATATGCACTGTTCCAAGGGTATACGAGCGCCTGTCAGCTACCCTCGGAGTGGCGTCCTCTGAGCGAGGGCTGTCGAGCCGAGCTGGCGGAGATCATCATTTACGCTCGTGTTTTGGCCATTCACCGGGAGACCGTGAGCAGCGCCGGGGGACTGTACAACTCTCTGCCCTTTGGATTGGGTTATGGGTACGAGAGTGCGGAGGAAGGGCTGCTGTACTCTGCAGAAGTGGAGCTGCTGTGTGACCAGGCGTGGGGTAGCATGCTGGAGGTCCCCACTGGGTCCAGACTCAACCTGACCGGCATGGGCTACCTCTCCTGCCAGTCCCACACGGTGATGGAGAACTACTCCTACTTCTTCTTTCTGAGGTGAGATTTTCAAAGAATGCACCAAACTTAATTTACATGTATGTTGGAGACTGTTTATTATTAGGGGCGCGTTTATAACTTTTAACTGGGGGGTCTGTAACATCTTGTAGCCCTGGGTTTCAGAATGGTCAAGAAAAAGGACTTTTCTCATCTGAAAATCATACATATTGTACTCAGGAAAAGGCTTGAGTAAACTAGAGTACTTAAACCTGGATTGAGGTACAGAATACTGAAAACCTACTTTAAAATGTATTTTGTTATGTATTTCGTTACATGCTCCAATCAGTGGAGTATTCTGAATATTTGGAATACTTATATGCTCATTTGTATATAGTGTAACATTTTAAATACTACCTTGTTTTATTTATATTTTGCATTCACTATTTCATATGTGGCATTTAGTAAACTAAAGCTGTGAAGACATTTCCAGATGGTTCCAGTTTGACTCATATATCATCACTTATCTTGTTCAGACTAGCATGCAGTCAATCAAAATTCTGTATCAAAAGAAATGTTTAGGACCAAAATAAAAGTTAGGCTAATGATATCATGTTTTGTATCAGACGTGTATGCTTTTTGATGATTAAATTAACAACAGGTTCATATGACAAACATTCAAAAAAGCCTCTAGTTGTAAATTGTAGTATAGAGCTGACAAATATTTGACTTTTAGCAGTCACCATAGTAACCAGGAAACAAGAAAATTCCTTTGCAATTTCTAAGCCAAAAAACTGTCACAAAGTTCTACATCTTCTTCACAGTACATATCAATAATACTCTTTATGTTTTATCACAAAGGTGTTTAGAAGTGGCAGTCAATTTAAAAAACATACACATAACGTTTGCCAGTAGTAAATACTTTCAGAATCCGGGAAAACATTTTTGACATTTTAATTTTTAATATTTCTTTCTAAAAATGCTTCTCTCTCACTGCACCTGCCCTCTAACTGAAAGAGAATTTCATAATATTAATTTAAATATAAAGTTATGATGCCTAGGAGCATGTCAACTGTGGGCAAAACAATCTCACTGGGACTTTCCTGATTGAATAAAGGTAAATAATACTAATGGTAACCTTATATTCAATTCTGCAAGTTGAATATCTTGCATGTGTTTTAACAGATGCTCAAATAAATAAATAAATAACCTGAATGATATTTGTATGCACATTATAAGGGATAGTAGATATACTTAGCAAAACATCTGACTTGGGTAAAAATGTCACTAGGGATTTTAAATCTTATCAAAGACTCCTCCACTTTCTTCCACTTATCTGCCTCATTAACTCCTGTTTATGTGGAGCGCAGGATGGATGAGAACTACAACCTCCTCCCACACGGGGTCAACTTCCAGGACGCAATCTTCGTAGACTCGGTCGACAACAGACGCACATTCTCCAGTCTGTTCCAGTTCTCCAACTGCAGCCTGCAGCCGTCTCTGCACCAGTACAGCCCTGAGTGGGACGTGCAGGAGGACAGCAGAGTAAGACAACACCACACATTTAGATCATTGGTGTCAAAATACTTGCTGAACTATTGAAGGTATATGGGAGGATTTTCTTCTTCCGGCTGGATCATCTAGACTATTGGTCCTCCTAATTGTCCGTCATTCTGGTGATATCCAAGACACGTTTTAATGGTGTTCCCTCTGAAGAGGGCGGTTCTTTTCTAAAATTCCGGAAAATTCTCCTGTATAATTTTAAGCACACCTGTATATGAACTACACCAGCTGAATTTCAAAAGAAATAACTTTTTTACAGGCAGTACTTGAATATAAGTTGCAGGTTTTTCATGTGGAACCGTAATCAAAGCCAACTGTTTGATGATTTAACAATGAGGTGCTTTAACGCACTGTTGACTCGGGATGATCAAAGCTCTCCGGTAAATCCCATCTACTAACAATGACGTTCCTAAGGCCTCGTTTAGACGGAGACGCTGCAAAGTAATTTGCAAAAACAACCCGTCTCCATATTCGAAATGCTTTGCATCTACACAAAGACGGAAAACCATGTAGTTCTAGTGCCCGAACAGTAGGGGGCAGTGGAACTTTACAACGCGACCCCAGCAGTAAAACCACTTCCTCAACAACATTGTCCTCAGGCCGCCGCAAAGACGTGAAAGAATGCATGGTTTTATCTGAACAATAAGGAGTAGAATTCTCCTCCGTGTAGCGCTCGAAGCTCACGTAGCATTAGCTGATCCACCGCCATTGTTGTTTAAGTTTGTTCTCGGCTACTGCGCATATCCAAAGGTAAGTGCGAGGAAGTGGTGCGGTCATTGCAGCAGAGAATTCAAACCTTTTTCTTCACCCTCTTTTTAGGCGACTAATTGACAGGACATGGTTTTTGTCGACCAATTTATTTGGTTCACTCCAGCCCGAATTAATTGTTAACCATCTGAATCAAGTGATTTGATTGTATGGGAAAAGAAAATCTCTTTTAATCAGAATCAGAATCAGAATAATTTTTATTGCCACGTAGGTAACAAACAAAGTTACCAAATTGTTTTGGCAGAGAGCGTGCCACTTCGCCATTTGCGGCGCTGTGTGCAGCAAGAAACAGCAGAGAGCAATAACATACAGTTTCACAGACAGTTGGATAGACACAATGGGCCTCATTCACGAACGGTTCTTAGGAACAGATTTGTACGTAAATCCTACTTACGCGGTTTTTACAAAGAAAGTGGCATTCACGAATATTTCTCGTAACCAGAATTTGTCTTGGGCAAGTACAAATCCTACGAGTCCTCAGGAGCACTCGTACGCATTCAGTGCCGACATGTTCACATGCGGGGGTTGTCCTCTTTGGTGAAGTTGAATAAAAATACAACATTCCAGTGATATGTCCGTCATATCGATGTATGTATTTATTTATTTGTAGTAATCTTTAGTAATCTTTATTTATATACCGCCTTTTTCACTGCAGATCTGGCCTACTTTTTAATTCATTTTGAAATGAAATGTGCCAACGCTTTATCAAATACATTGGAAATCTTGCCGTGTATTAGTGACCCCTTCCTATTGTAGCGTACCAAACGGGAGAAGGATGAGAGACACAGAAAGAGGCAAATTGTAGTTGGAGACTCCCAAAAAGTGAGGTCCCCATTTATTTATAGAGGACCAAAACCCGCGAAACATAGGTCACAAGGTAACACACATGCGCACAAGCATAATACTAAAAAGTCGTTTACATACTTCCCCCCTTTAACAAGACATGTCCTCATGTCCAACTGAAAAAAAATAAATAAATGCACCACACACACAAAAAAAAATGTACAAAACAGCATCAAAGTCCCAGCGTCCTCCAAGAACCAAACACTGGCGATCCTGCAACAACCTGGACTCCCCGCAGCAGGTAGACGACTGGCGCAGAACCGGAGCACGAATTCCCCTGACCGGAGCAAAGGAAATCAACAGAACGTCCAGAACACGGGACCGTAGGACGCGCTGGGAACATCAGAATTACGGACTCTTGAACACACACGTCAGCAGGCACCCCAACAGGCATAACCACATTCCTGTGGCTCCCGAGGGAAGGCGCTGGATTCGGGCACCAATGCGCACATGTCACGGTCTGATCCTGGACATCAGCGGCCCCGAGCCACATGCTCAGTCCGGTACTGGAACGTCTCCCCCGGCGGCAGCACTCCGTCACACCAGTCCTTTACAGTCACCCCAGCCGAGAAGAGCCCAGGCCACACCATCACTCCAGTCCCACATCAACACAAAAATATGGCGACACCATAATGGCGACTGGCACCGTCAGGTCAGACTCACCCACCAAAAAAGTACAAAAAGCAAGGCACAAATGTTCGTCACCGCCGCCACCACCTACATCGACTCAGGTGGCGACGGCGGCACCGCTGCCACCAATGTAGCGTACCAAACGGGAGAAGGATGAGAGACACAGAAAGAGGCAAATTGTAGTTGGAGACTCCCAAAAAGTGAGGTCCCCATTTATTTATAGAGGACCAAAACCCGCGAAACATAGGTCACAAGGTAACACACATGCGCACAAGCATAATACTAAAAAGTCGTTTACACTATTTATAGGGGGCATTTCTTTATTCACGGGCCACAGAACAACGGCATATATACTGCTGCTGCAGGAGGTTACTGGGTCCGCGCTGAGTCTCTGCGCTGGTCTCTCCCATGGATCTATACGGGTCTGCACTGGTCTCTCCTATGGATCTATACGGGTCTGCACTGGTCTCTCCCATGGATCTATACGGGTCTGCGCTGGTGTCTCCCATATACGGGTCTGCACTGGTCTCTCCCATGGATCTATACGGGTCTGCACTGGTCTCTCCCATGGATCTATACGGGTCTGCACTGGTCTCTCCCATGGATCTAGACGGGTCTGCACTGGTCTCTCCCATGGATCTAGACGGGTCTGCACTGGTCTCTCCATACGGGTCCGTGCTGCATGCTCCTGGATCCTACGGGTCCGCGCTGGTCTCTCAAGTCTGGTCTATGCGGTCTCTCTTCGGTCCGCGCTGGTCTCTGCGCACCGGTCTCTCCAGTCAGGTCACTCCAGTCTATGCGGTCTCTCCTGTCCGCGCTGGTTTCTGTGTGCTGGTCACTCCAGTCTCTCCTCGGGTCTGCATTGGTCTCAGCGCTGGTCCGCGCTGGATCTCCTCCCAGGGTCCAAAATATTTTGAGATTAATCTCAAAACATTTTGAGATTCATCTTTAAAATAATACATAATATATTTTTAAATTAAGCTCATAACATTTTGAGATTAATCTCATCATATTCTTAGATTAATCTCATAATTTTGCTAGTTCGACTTTATTATCATAATATTTCGACTTTTAAGTCAACATTTTATAACTTTATTCTCAGTCTGGCAAAAGCCTGCTTTAGGCCTGTTGCTGTTTCCTCTGGCGTCTGCACACGGCCCTGCAGTCCCTTATATGGGCATTAATGGGCGGTTACTTATGCTAAGTACCTATGCTAATGAAGCACCTGGCACGCGCGCTGTACTTACGAGGAAATGGGATTCATCAATCTGAGAGAACAGCTGCGAACAATTCAGCGGCTTACGAGTGCGTTGATGAATCCCACGTGGGGACTTCCTAGAAATCTACTTAAGGACAACTTGAGAAGAAAGTTGAGTAGTTTCTTACGTAGTTATTCGTGAATGAGGCCCATTGTGCTTTGTATAAACCACAGATTTTTTCCTTGGGATGAGCACCTCCGACTGCCGGCCCAATGTGGCTGTCAGAGGGGGGCAGGGTCAGGGAGGGGGTGAGCCGGAAAGACAATGCGGAGTGGAGGGGAGGGAAGGAAGATGGATAGGTAGAGGGAGGTCATTAGACCCTCGTGCATTAGCAAGGAACAACTCAAAAAAACTATTGGGCCTACTCTGAGCTCCCACAGACAGGCGGGCTATAGATCCAGGACTCAGGCTGTAGAACAAGGACCGAGGCCTCGCCCTGCAGGACTGAGGCAGATCCCAGGCAGGGAGGGTGTGCAACCCACAAGTCCGGGATGAGGGAGACAGTCCACCGGTGCAGAAGAAAGAGACCAGATTCATGGGTCCCATATTATGCCGTGACAATGGAACAGTAGGGGAATAGCAATAAACAGACTGAAGTCATAATGATGACAGATAAAGTAGGAAGAGGAGAGGACACTACTCAAGTTACTAATGCTACAATGTTTATTCATTTTTATTTATTACTATTGAATTATTTTTATGTATTTCAAATTATTGATTCAATAAAAAGTACAAAACAAAAATACATACACACAAACACATACACACAAACACACACACAGTTTTCTTTGTATCAGTAGAGCCCATTTTTGTAAACTTTTATCATTGAATCTAATCTTTTTGCTCTAACAAAGGGTGAGGTAACACTTTATACTGTCTTGTCTTGAGTCTGAATGCCTGCGTTGTGATTAACAGCAGAAAACAATGGTCACATACTTTTTTCTTAAGAAGTTGTATCTCCCGCCTAGACTTAAGTATTCAAACAGTGGCCCTGGTTCCCATGGTTAAACAGCAGGTGGCGAGGTTGAGGAGGATTATTTAGTAACTTTAAGAGTATAGTTGAAGAGGGCTTTTATTTGTTGTGACAGGAGCACAATGACTTCAGCAGAGCTATTTAGATGCCTACTGCTGAGTTATAAACCTGAAGGTTTGAATCCCACTGTGAGTGAGGTTGAAAATATAATGTTTTGCGCTGGAATGTGTGGAAGGAGTAAGCAATGATCTTTATTTTGAGTTTGGTCAGCCTGAAGTTACAGACTCCAAGGTATAAAATCAATCACACTAATAAAGTGTCTTTAATATTAATATAAATGAACAATGTGCCATTAAATAGATTAGAACTGTTGATAGTACATATTTTTCATATTTTTGGCTCCTCTTTTCACTTTTACATCCAGCTTGAAAGTGGAGTATGTTTTGTCCACTCTGTAACCACTGATCTTCTGGTTGCTGAATGAAAGCTGTGACTGTGACCATCTTTAC